AGGGACAAAAAAATTTGACTTCTTTTGAGGCCAGTGAGGAAGTACGGACTTCGGAGGACTCAGCCTGTGGTATGGAGGAAAAGACACCTAAATGACAGATGCTGGTACAGTAATCCCAACAGGTTGGAAAGCAGCCCTACATTGAAAAGGAAAACAAGGGAAGCCAGTATGTGTCTTAAGGTTTTTGGGCTCTGGCTGGTGTGGCTCAGTTGGTTAGGCATCATCCTGCAAACAAAGTTTGCAGGTTCACTTCATGGTGAGGGCACATACCTAGGTTGCAGGTTCGGACCCCAGTTGGGGTGCATACAGGAGGCAGAAAACACTGATGTTTCTCTGCCTTCCCATCTCTAATATCAAAGAGAATATCCTTGGGTGAGGATTAAAAAAAGGGGAGGGGGGTGGTTTGGACTGAGCAGTAGAAAACCACTTTGCCCTTGACAATACAGACCTAAAAAGGAGTCATTTTTGTGTTTGATAATTAATCATTATTTTACTTCGTGCTTCAGGGAGACGAGCTTTCAATTTACCTATTCATTTGGAACCAGGGATTTCTTTTCATCAAATAGTATGACAAAAATCTTTGGAAGGTGAACATAAAATCAGAGTGGTAGAAACCCAAAGACTACTATATTCAGTATTCCTTTCCATTGTTTTGGATTTGAGAATTTATTTTATATATGGATATCAGGTGTTTGTTTTTAAAGATTTATTTTAGAGAAGGGATGAGGAGGAGGGAGGACAAGCATCAAGGTATGGTTGCCTCTTGTGGGCCCCCTCCTGGGGACCTGGCCTGCAACCCAAGCATGTGCCCTGGCTGGGAACTGAACTGGCGACCCTTTGGTTCACAGTCTGGTGCTCAATTAGCTGAGCCACACCAGCCAGGGCAGATTTTTTTCTTATTTACAGCAAAGTAATATTTCATAAGTCTCTTGATTGAACACCTTTTCATCCTTTATTTCTCTAAGGATCAATTGTTTATTCTCTTCTGAGTTCCTTCTAATTTCCAAAGTGATTTTTATCCCTTTTAATTTTAATGCTTTCATGAATTGTCACTTACCTTTTCATATTTTGAGTCCTAATTCTGATTTAATAGTACATTGTTTTATTGCTTTTATCATAAACATGTTCTGTAAGGACTCACTGTTCAATATTCTAATTTTGTGTATTTCACAATTCTTTTCTGTTGCTCATATATGTGAAATCCATTTTCCTTTCAGGAGGGAAAGGAACAGAATAACTTCTAGCCTCAAGGCTCATGAAATCTTTTGCTTATTTGAAGATTTTGAGAGAAACGGGAGGAAGAGGGAGAGAAACGTCCATGGTTGCCTTTTGCATGCCTGCATCCTATTTTACCGAATCTGCTTTTGCTTTCCCCCCTGCACTTCAATCTGCAGTCTGTCTTTTGCCCCTGTTGTCTCTGTCCACAATTTGGTTATCTACAGCCAGCGATTACTCCTTAAATGGATTTTATTTTAGAATGAAGCTTAGGTTGGTTTGTTTCAAGAGTTTTTAAGGACCTAGCCTACTCAGTCACCATCAGAATTTAACAGTCCCCTTAAACTCACTTGCAAATTGGCATCTTCAAGAGCCTTTCTTGTTTTGGCTCTGTTCAAACTGGCCTGCATGATTTCCAGTGGGAACCTGTTGATTTTGGAAACCTATTCTGAAAGTCATCGGGCTAACTCCTCTTCCTCCATGACCTATACAGGTAGCCAGTACCATGCAGGTCTTACAACTGCTTTTGAGTTTGGACAACAGGTTGCTTTGTGACTGAAATTTGTTATAAATGTTGAACCTGGGTTTTTGCTTTTTAAAAACTACACTTATTTTTGCCACCTTGATTCTTTAATGCATTTCTGGTGGTTATAATTAGGTTTATCTCTGATAAGTCTGTTCGTTTCCCTCCTGAAAGGAAAATGGATTTCACATAAATAAGCAACAGAAAAGAACTGTGAAATATAATACAAAATTAGAATATTGAACAGTGAGTCCTTACGGAACGTTTCTATGATAAAAGCAATAAAATAATGTATTAATCTATCAGAATTAGGACTCAGATAAAATACGAAAAGGTAAGTGACAATTCATGAAAGCATTAAAAATTAAAAGGGATAAAAATCACTTTGGAAATTAGAAGGAACTCAGAAGAAAAGGCAGTAGCGCAGAATGGGCTTTGGAATCACACTATGTGGGTATACAAAACCTAGATTCACCATTCTGAATTGTGATCTATATCTGTGTCTTTGTTTCCTCTATAAAGTAATAATAGGTGGTTGTGAGAACTAAGTGAACTATCAAATACCAAAGCCCAGAGAAAAGTACTAGTCTACATAGTAGGTATTCAACAGATATGGCTGTTGTTGTTTCCTTTTTCAGGTCTAGGTCTTTGATTACTGGCTTTATAGACTATAGACTACAGATTATTCTGAAAATTAAACACACCTAGCTTCTTGAAATTAACTCTTGCTTCCATGACAAGATAGAAACTACAACTGCAAATAGCTACAAAATAATGAAAATCAGAAAAATACATGGTAGGCAAAAACTTCAGAGGAAAGTTCATAGTGTTAAGCACTTTTATAATGAAACTATATGCAGTAAACATTCAAAAGTAGAGATGGACTTCTGAAGTTATTTTTAGAGGGAAGAGAGAAACATCGACTTGTTCCACCTATTTATGTGTTCACTGGTTGCTTCATTCACTCGTGTCTTGACTGGGGATGGAACCCACAACCTGGCATTATCAGAATGGTGCTCTAACCAACTGAGCTACTTGGCCAGGGAAGGTTAACTGCTTTCTATGTGGTTTAAAAAAAAAAAAAGTTGAAATCAATTTTTTACAAAAAGTAAAATGTCAATACCAGATGGTGGCAAGGATGTGGAATAAATAACTCTGATATTGTTGGTGGGAATGAAAAAATGGTATGACTGTGAGGTCTAATTAAAGTGGAAGACTGTATAGCCTTAACCCATCAAGTCCACTTCTAGTTAAGCACCTTAGAGCAGATCTTCTGAACTTGTGTGCCAGGGATGGGTGGCTGGGTAAGGCCTTAAATGGCCACAGCTCCCCAAGCCTCGTATTTATCCTAGTACAGCATACAAATGTTCTTTTCTGTATTATCATCTATCTACATGAAAATAATTGATAAACAACCTCTTCTAGTGTCTTCCCTGTACTTCCATATTAAAAAGCTAAGTTTCATTGGAGCCAGATTCTCATTTTATTCTCTGCTGGTTCTCCAGCAGCTTGAATAATGTGTGATACACAGTGTCTCAATAGATAATTTGTTGAATGTACAAGTGCATACCACATATAAAAATGATCCTTGGAGTATTATAAAAGTGGAAGATCATATGCTATTAATGATCCATTTTAAGTTATTCAGCAGTTAAATGAAAAATCCATGTAAGTCTCAAAAACAGTGAAAAAAACTGCAGAAAGATATGTACAATACAACTTATAAAGTTTTAGGTAAAGTTTATAAACAAGGCCGTATACTAAGTATAAAATTATACATCCATGGAATGATGAACACCAAATAACTGTTTGTTACTAGAGAAAATCGAAAAGTTATCAGGAAAAGATTTTTCAGGGAGCTTTAACTTGATCTATAATATTTTATTTCAGAAATAAAATTTGGGAGCATGGACAAATGTTACCTGTGTTCTTTGTTAAAATCAACCATAATTTTAAAAAATAAAGGAGGGTTGATAAATCTAAGACTGCATGAAAATCAAATCACTAGTTGATGTAACCAAGAAAGAAAACATGTACAGAAAGATCAATGAAGAAAGTTAGTATAGCCAATGTGGCTCAGTAGACTGAATGCTGGCCTGCAAACCAAAGGGTTGATGGTTTAATTCCCCATTCAGGGCACATGCCTGGGTTGCGCATCAGGTCCCCAGTCAGGGGTATGTAAGAGGCAACCACATATCGGTGTTTTCTCTTCTTTCCCCTCTCTAAATTTTTTTTCTAAACCCAGAAATTTAAAAAAAAGTATATACGTATAGAAGAAATTAAGAGAATACTTTTCTACAACTCTAAGCAAGTACATTTGAAAGGGAATCTTCCATGAAATGGGAGGCTCCTTTTAGAAAAATTATGATTATAAAAACTGATGAAAGGAACAGCAAAGGAAAAGTGGCAGAGGAATATTCCCCCCAAAAGGAAAAAAAAATCCTGGTACATCTGTTCTACCACTAAATTCTTTTAGACCTTTAAGGAACAGACTTCTTTTTGTTCTCTTAACTTTTACAAAGTATGAAGTTAGGTAGTCTTTTGGGGGTTACTTGGAAAACAGTCATAGTTTCATATAGTGGGCTGAGAATTCCTATTGTGTCATTCAGCTGTTTTTCATGCAGAAACAGCAGTATTTGGTTTTAATGTTTAAATGTTACAATTCACAGTAAAGGATACACTTAAATGGTATAATTCACAGTAAAGGATACACAAATAGCTCAAGCAGATACCCAGTCTTATCCTTAAGTGAAAGTACAAAATTCCACTGAGATTTAATCTCCACAGAGATTAAAATACCATTATCTAATAGATCAGCAGAGACAGAAATACTTGACTCATATATTGTTGATGGGACTGTAAATTGGCACAATCCTTGTAGAAAGCAACGTGCCAATCAGAAATACAAATGTAGAAATATTTGACCTAGTAATTCTAACTTAAAATTTTATCTTTCTAATGTGCTATATGACTTAGTCCAAAGTTATTAAATGCAGCTTTATTTGTACTAACAAAAAAGAACTGAAGTATCTGTTTAGTAGGGACTATTCCCATATATTATGGTACGTCCATAAAGTTAAATCTTGCACAAAAAGAATCAAGAAACTCTTTACGTACTGACATGGGACAATCTCAAAAGTACCATGTGAAGTGAAAAAAGCAAGTTGAAGATAAAAATTTTTTAAGAGACAAGAATTTCAAATAACTGTTATATTGCAATAGAAATACAAAATTCTTTTAGGTAAATTCAAATTAGCAAGCCCTATGTTTCTTTTATCTGATTTATAAACTTTTCCACGATTCCATCGAGTCTTTCAGGCTCCAGCAGTTTATTTACCAATTCCTGCTCGACAGCCATTAGGGCCAAGCCACTAAGCTTCTCTTGTCCCATGGTATGACATAAATATGTTTTAAGACGAGGCAGTATAGAATATGAGTCTTCAACACTTGCTGCAGTAACCGGCCAGGACAAAGCAATATATAACAGCTTTGATACGCAAGGGATATTATTATGAAGACCATGCTGAATAAACAAATAGCCAAGATAGATGAAGTTGATAGGATCATTATCTATGACAAAGTTGAGCTTTGCATATTGGCGATAAAATCTAAGTTCTGGGATGATGTCCGCATCAAATTTATAAAATTCTTGGACATGTTTGGCTATTGCTTCATTTAATGGCTCATTCCACTTAAATAACAGTTCTGAAATTTGCTTCACTTTGCAATAATCAAATTCTGAAAAACATAGTTTTAAATTCTGTAATATAGTATCTAATCCTTGGTAATAAATATTTTTATATTGTTCTTCTGGTGAGGTAGGAAAAAACATACTGTCTGAATTGCCAAGCTCTATTGTTTTCTGAATTTTTCTTCTTTTATGAAAAGAAGGCCGTTCAACTTCAAAACCTTTACAGGTTATTTTTTGACATATTTCTTCTGCTCCATCCCAGAGAGTTTTGAAACAGACATCATTTCTTTCAGATGATAAACATTCCAAAATTGCTTCTATTTTTGAAGACAAAGAAAAAATATTTATGGTTTCACTTTGAAGCTCTTTGGAAATAATTCCTATGACACTTAATACTCGATAAAGAAACTTCAAACAAAAGATAAATTCAAATTTGGAAACCAGTGTCAATAAATCACTCAATTCATCAGCCAAACTTGTATTAGAAGAATGGCTTGATACAACTTCCAGTGTTTCAATAATCTCTGGAAGACCCTCAATCACAGATAGTAATGTATGATCATGGACCGTCCAACAAGATTGTGATATATGTTTCTTGCAGGTTTTGTTTTGACTTAGTTTATAAATCTTTTGAAAATTTGCAGACATTTCCCCAGACATATGAATAGTGTTGAACAAAGAACCGAGAGTATTTAGAGCACTTCGGAGTTCTTTTACTTCTTTACAAAATCTAATTACTGCTAAATCCAAAAAATGGGCATAACAATGTATATATAAAGCTCTGGGCTCTTCCTTCTTGAATTCTGCTGCACTTTCATTGAATATTATCCTCAAATTACTGGTACTATCATAGGCCTGGCCTCTCATTTTATTCAAATCAATTCCAATTTGCTGGAGGTAAGTTGTGATAGTCCTGTGTAAGTTGGTCCCAGTCATCTCTTCAACATCTATGAAACCCAAGAATCTTTCTTTAATTAAGATAGCCTTTGATGTTTTTTGTGGGTATCTTACACAAATTGAAAGCTGTTCTTTTGTGGGACTGTAAGTTGCCTCATCACATATTAATGAAAAAGCTGAGGCGACATTGATCTCACTCACAATATCATGCAACATTTCAGTCTTTATTATTTCAATGATATCATTCTGAATTTGTGTACTATTATAGAAGTCAACTTGTGAACTCATAAGTCTAAATATTTCTTCTCCTTTATCTTTTGCTCTGATTTCCAACAGTTCTAAAAAATGGCCTTTATTCACAGATGAAAGAGACTGATCATTTCCTCTTAAGGGTAAACACTGCTTTCCAAGAAATAAAATATTTTCAATTATAAGCTTTAGGTACTTTTTATTTCCTTCAATCTGTTTTGAATGAATAGATAAATTGTCATTGACAGCGTCATTACAGAACTGGTATTCCCTCCAAAATTGCAATGACTTCAAATGCATTTTACTCTTTTCGTGCTTTCTGAAATTTTTGAGAGTTTTTTTCCAATTAGAAATTCCTTGAGTTGCAAATGACTGTCCCCCATACCTATATTTTTTTTGACAGAACAACTGGCATGAGTAACAGAAGGTTGCATCCTTTTTAACACTGGTTTCTAACTTCTGGAAATTTGAACACTGAAAATTTTTAATACTTTTTGATTTACCTTTAACTTTCTGTACTTTAGATGTAAATTTTGGATGATAGAGTCTGTCACTCATTTTCATAGATTCCTTACTGCATGTAGCATCTTGGTTTGACACTTGGTCTTTCTGTGCTTCCATACTGGAGCCAACTGTAGGCTGACTGAGTACTGAGGAAGGTGGTGAAAGGCTTGGGTGCTCCACACCACTATTAGCAACACTACTACTTGACTTGCTGGGTGAACTCTTAGAAACCTTCAGGAGAAAATCAGATTTGTTTTAACAGTTTCCAAATAATTAAAATATCAAATGCACCTATTTTAACAACACAATAAAGTCAATGGGTGAATTACAGTATGAGCTCCACTAGGGGGAAACATTAACAATTATTTATAATTTATCTATTTGCAATCTAGATTCAACATTAATTGCTCAAGGGTCTTTGGTATATAATTATAATAAAAATTTTTTATTGCTCAGGTGAGTAGAATTGTTTAATAAATATTACAAAAAATAAGAATCCAAAGGAAAAAACTAGGACTAGTAATACTCCTGTTTAAATATTCTTATTAAGTCAAACTTGAGATTTGGGAAACTGAATATAAATCCCAAAAGGTGTTTATTGCTCTACTTTTTTGAGCTCTAGGATCAAAATAGGAATTAATATGCTCAGATACACAGACACACGTTTAAAAAAAAAAAAACTTACGAAAGATAGCAAAGAAAACCCAACTTACATCTGATAGGACATTTCCTCTTTCTGAAGAAACTGTACCTGGTAAAGCATAAATTCAAGATCTTATACCATAATCTATAAAATAGCATCATAAAAACAGCATCACAAACTATAATGCTTCTTTCATATCAAGTAACACAAAGAACATTTAGAATATAGATTCAAGTATGGCAAAACAGTATATATGTTGAATATCATATCAGTTTTTACCTTGTAAGACATCAGAGTTCATGGTGGGTGGGTCAGCGTGAGTATCTGCCAATGACACTATATTGCTAATAACTGGAGTTGTATCTTTCTTTGGAGAAAATGGCTTCTCTGGAGAAAGGAGCTCCATTGAATTATCATGCGCCATGGAAATATTTACTAATAAAAAGATTTATAAATCAGAATCAATCACTCATAAAGCACTATTTAATAACAAGTGTGTCAATGAACAATGCAAATATCTAATAACTTTAGGTATTGCTGGGTACTGGCATGATTTTTTTTTTTAAGGCTTAGGTATAGCCAGGTTCTTTAGGATAATATCAATCACAACATTAAACCAATAATTTACATTTCCTATCATTTTATATCTTTCATCTTTGCACACCATTTCTCAGCCTTTATACTCTTTCCTTGATCTGTGAAATTACCATGAAGAACAGAAAAGACACTTGATAGAATCTCCTAATGGGTAGCACTTCTAACTCTTTCAGGAATCACAAACCTCAACACAAATGGAACCGGGCTGTTGTCTAAGCTATTTTTATAGAGATTTCCACAGTAAGTCTGCAAGATGTACAAGCCCCAAGAGCACTGTTCACTGCACCATATGTAAATAGCACTACTGGTCCTACAGGTGGATCTTTGAGGGAATATATACTTGGCCCTGGACTATCTGCTTTTCTGTTAGTGAACTTCACATTATTTCCAACTGGCTCTAGTTTATGTGAAAACTGTAATAGCCTTGTTTTTTACAAAGCAGGACTAAGTACAAGATTGTACCCTAATACAACAAACAATCTTCACAAACATTAAATGTCTGGTGGTGAAGTAGCCTTCCTTTTATACAAAAGTATTAGAAACCATTTCTTTTCAAAAAGTTTTTAATGGTTTTTACTTTTAAATCTAATTTGGAAATGAATCAAGGTTATACATTAAACGAAGCAGTAATATTCTCCAGGAGTTACCGAACCTCTGATTACTAAGCAAGTATTACCTGTAGAAGATTCCATCTTAGCTTTACTGTAAGCAGAGAAACAATTAACAGAGCAGAAAAGCTCTGTCTTCCCCAAGTCATTGGTAATCTCAATCATTTCATCTGAGGGCTTCAACGATTTGCAAAGACTAGATGTAAGTGTTCTGGCTGGTTTCTGTTAGAGATTAAAATGATACATGGCTGGCATATGACAAATTATTAACATACTATCATAAAAACATACCCAATACCATTGCTCTACAAATAATGACAGAGAAACCACATTTTTACTTTCTTAAAAACCAGAAAAGGTGGCACCATGAATTACAAAGATTAAAATGCAGGAAATTGATCATGCTATTCGGTAACTATTTGTTGGATATATAATAGCAATTAAAATACATATACAAGCAATGAAGAAGCCAAGATCATTACACTTCTACCAAACAATCCACTTTTTAAAAAGTCACCCCATTTTTAGCTTCATAGAGTTGAACATTTTCTAATTCTTGATCACAGTTCACTAATAATTTAGCTTTTCTCCATTACCACTATCACACAACATCTTAAATGCTGAGCATAATATTAGGTGGTGCTTCATAAAAAATTATTTTTAGAAACTTTTATTTATTGATTTTAGAGAAAAGAGAAACATCAATTTGCTGTTCCACTTACTGATGCATTCATTGGCTGATTCCTCTATGTGCCTTGAACAAGGATCTTACACATAAACATGGCATATCGGGCAATGCTCTAACCAACTGAGCTACGCAGCCAGGCCGTAGGAGGTGTTTTTTGTTTGTTTTAAATCCTCACTGGAGGACTTTTTTTTTTTTTTAGAGAGAGGAAAGGGGTGACGGTGCGGGGTGCGGGGGAGAGAAAGAAACATCGATTGGTTGTCTCCCGCAACTTTTTGGTGTAGGGGATGACATTCCAACCAACTAAGCTCCCTGGCCAGGGCTACTTATGTGGTGCTTTTTAACACATCTACCCAGATCAGCCCTGCCCCATCACATGGGCTGAATAAGTACTGAATACAAGTTCTTAAAAACAGGACAAGTCCTATTTATTGAGTATGAGAATGTGAGGGATAAAGAAGGAAATCCAGGAATCGCATTTCTTGCCTTTGGAAGAAGGCTTCCATGCCTTTCACTCTCCCATTTCTGGTCCCAAGACATGATCCTCTCTGGTATGGGCAGCTGCCATAAAAAAGATGTGGTTCACCAATTACCTATTTGAACTATGGTTTGTTAAGACCCCCATCTTCAGTTGCTTGTTTTTAAGAAAGAACTTATAGGGATAGAGGTGTGTCTCAAAGCATCATCTAAAGCAGCAAGGTATGTGACAGTCCCACCTCATAAAAGGGACTCAGACCACTGTGTTCATCTCAGTCTACCAAAGCAGGGCCAGCTTCTCTCTCAGGATCACCCATCCAAGGCTCTCCTGCCAAGAGTAGGGGATTATTTCCTCCTATGACTGATGCAGAAAAAGCGTTATATTCTTCTTTTACCTTAACCTTGCTTATGTGTAAAGAGATAAATGGAATTAAAAATAAAAACACTTTGTGGCTGAGTCTTACCAGTAAACTACTGTTATTTTTGCTATTTTTATTTGTAGTTTACAAACAAGTTCCCATCTGTTTGCCTTTCTTCAAGGTAAAATGATCACCCTGACATTCCTTAGGAAAATCTCTGTACAGCACCTATCATGAATTATACTAAACGGAACTATCAGAAGTCTTATTTCATCTTCACCATCACCAAAACTGTTACCAATATTATTAAAATCTATATTCCCACATTTTCCTAAAGTAAAACCATTCACAAACCAATTCATGGAAGGAACTCAATCTCTAATTTTTCAGTTGAGTCCTATGCAGTCACTTTCAAATGGAGCGGTCCTCTCTTTACACAACAGATTTTTATTCATACCTGCTTACATGCTGCAATACTCTTCGAACTATTTAAGTAATGGAACTGTCCTTCCATCTGAAGTATATGGAACAGATCAGAGCTAGTGTAACAGTATGTTCCACAGTTCTCACAACAGTTCATGATGAGGTTGTTAGTAGAGTGAAACTTTGAGAAACAGGCATTACTGCAAAGAGTCTGTTTCACATTCTGGTATTTTACTTCATACTGAATCTAGGATTAAAAAAATAAAAAAAGATTCAGTAGAAATTCTGGTATTTACATAGATCAGAGTCCCTAAAGGTTAAAAAAAAATGCAACTTACGAGAGTAGTCTTCTGACACATGCTGCATTTGGTTGAAATGCTGTCAGTATATAGGGTAACAGAGAGTTTTCTTAGACAAGACTGGCTGCAAAAACTTTTGCTAGAGGTATTATCTTCCAGCTGGACACTGATCACATCCTTTAGATTTAAAATGTCTCTAATAAAAATAAATAACAAGAGCACCATTAAAAAGTTTTACCATAATTATAGTTTCTCTTCATAAGCTAAAAATCACTCCCTCAAAAAACCCTCTCTGATTGTTTCATTCACCCAAAGAGCTGTGAAGTAGTAATAACAATATCAGCCTTGAAATAAGAAAACCTGAATTTGGTATCCAGTTCTTTTACTTATACATCATTTATACTCCCTAAATGTTACTTTACTCACCTATAAAGTAGAGATTATAAAAGACACCTGACAGTGCAGATTTAAGGATTACCCAACCTGCATCAGTTCGTGCTAGGGGTAATAAAATGACGACTCACATGTTCATACCTGACCAACTTTGAAATCTGCAGGACAGAAGACTTCAAAGTATGGTCTACAAATCCCTGGGATCCCCCAGATACTTTCAGGGAATCCACAAGATCAAAACTATTTTACATTAAGATGTTATTTGCCTTTTTCACTGTACATTTTAATTGATGACCCAAAAGCAATGGTGGGCCCGTGATTCCATGCCTAGGTTTGTACCCCCAAGAATTGAAAACAAGGACTTAAAAAAGTATATGTACATGCATGTTCATAACAGCACTATTCACTACAGTTACATTAAAAACAGCCCAAATGCTCATCAGTGAATGAAAGGATAAACAAATTGTGGTGTATTCATGAAGAGGAATATTATTTAGCTACTATAAAAAATGAAGTACTGATATACATGCTACAACATCAATGAACCTCAAAAACATGCTAAGGAAAAGAAGCCAGGCACTTAAAAGATCGCATGCAGGATTCCATTCATATAAAATATCCAGAATAGGTAAATCCATAGATAGAACCAGGTTGGTGGTTGCCAGGGGCTGAGGGGAAAGGAGAGGGAAATGGGGAGAAACTACTTAAACAATAAGGCATTTTACTTTGGGTGACAGAAATGTTTTGGAACTAGACAAAGGAGGTAGATGTACATCACTGTCAATGTACTAAATGCTACTGAAATGGTCTTTTGTTGTGTGAATTTCACCTCAATAAGTTGGGAGGAAATAAAAAAAACGGTGGATAAAACTGCCAGAGCCTTAGCACAAATCAAGGCAGTGGCACAAAAATGTGCTAGTACTAGTTATCACTACCAAGCGTTTGCTGTAAAAACTGTTTGCTCTGTGAAACTTGATCCTTGAATATATCACATCTTTTTAATATTCTGTGTGATGAAATGCACTATAGGTGTAAAGTATTATCCCTAGGCACCCAAGTATGATGGCTGTCTCAAGGAAAAGCACATGTGGAAATGTTAAGAGTTACAACCTAAGTTAGCTACCTTTTCCGTGAAACACATTTTTACTTGAAAGAATAAATATTAGACAAACTATTATCAAGAAGTGGATACCTGGCAGGTATTTTTCTCAACAAAGAATAAAGTAAGACTGTTACTTCAAGGAAAACAACTGACAGTATGCATGGCCAATGGTAAAATTTGAGCTTTCATGGAAAATAAGAATTTTGAAAAACATATCTGCCACCTCCAGCTTAATTGCTCCCTATCACTTAACACTTTACTGATGAGATTAGTGATTTTTAAAATACTGCATAATGAAATATGTCAACATTTTGGAAGATCCATATAATTCAGTGACCCAATATTTTCCAATAATTGCCTATAGCAAACATCATTTATGGATAAAAGAACCAAAGTACAAGTACAGGGTCTGGGAGAAGTAAGACCTGATCAAGTGTGGTTGGTAGGGTAATAATATGGGTGTAATGATTTATAGTTTTAATTTAAACATTTCACCTAAAATGCCATACGGTGTGCTTGAGTGTGATGTTATAGAATTACATGCTTATGATTTGTAATAAAAAATTTTACAATAAGAGAATGGTGTTAGCTGTACCGGACCTTGTAGACCAATAAATTTTAGTTTAACAGTATAAAAACTTCACTGCTATGGTTTCAGATTACACATAAGAGTATGTACAATTATCTGAAAGACTAGTTGACTGGGCCCCCCTTTTCCAATTATATAGTTTGTTAAGGGCAGATTTTCTTTAGACTTTGGCCGAAACAGTATTTTGCAACAAACTGCTTACAGAAGCAGATATGAAAACCCAGCCAGTTTTGTAAAGCTGAAAAAAACAATGGTCACTGAATTTTTCTTAGAATTTCTCTTAATAAATTTTAAAAATATAGCTATTTTTCATAAAAATGTCAACCTGACTGAATTTTAAATAAAGTTTTAAAATTTCTCAGTTTTAAATTTCTAACAGAGTGTATATTGGTAGATACAGCCTATCTAAAACTAAAACTTTTCGGGTCTTCACGGTTTTCAAGCGTGTAAAGGGATCTGGAGACCAGAAAGTCTGAGAACTGCCACTATAGGAAATACCACGACATACGGCCAGCTAGGACCCTCAGAATATCAGTATTTCATGATAAAAGTTTTTCAGATGAAAATACCCCTAAAATCAACACTATTTTCACACTTCAACATTTACAAAGTTTTAGTGTACTATGTATGATTTTTCTACTCTCTTAAACAGATGGTACCAAAAATAAAGGGTTCATTTCATTATCATAGCATCAATCATTTTACTGGTTTAAAATACAGCTCTAAATGCAGTTTGAGTTGTGCTATCTTTGTCCTTCATTACAAAAAGTCTAGGATTCACTGTGTGCAGGTCAGTGTTTAGGCCTTGGGGATAGAAAGGTGACTAAAATCCAGTCCCTAAAGTTAAGAAGTTCATGTAGTATGGGGGGATATAAGGGAACTAAATGGTAATAGGAAAAAAATACAATGAAAAAATTTTTTAAAATAGAAAATTGTTGCTATGGGAAAAAAATAAACTGGGTAGTGTCAATTGTTAAAAACATCAATTATGATGAATGCTTTGGGAGTTGTGAACACTATGAAAACTGAGCATGGAACAATTAATCTGGACGGGTGGAAGGTAATAAAAGAGGAAGGAATGATGTGAGAATAGACAAGATGTAAAGATATTTGAGGAAGACCTTTAAGACACAAAATTAGCCAGATGGGAAAGGTGGCAAAAGAAACTGCACTGACAGAAGTATGGAACTCTGGAAATGCTCACTGGTTTGTGCTGCTATTAGTGTACTAGATTGCTGGCTTTAATATACTAAGGCCTTACAAATAAAAACTCAAAAAGTGAATTTTGGCTCTGGCTGGTGTGGCTCAGGTGGAGCATCATCCTGTGGACTGAAGGGTTGTGGATTTGATTCCGGGCCAGGGCACATACCCTGGTGGCGGGTTCAAGCCCTGGCTGGGATGCATACAAGAAGGCAACTAATTGATGTTTCTTACTCACATCGATATTTCTCTTTCTCTCCCCCTCCTTACTCCCTCCCTCCCTTCTCTCTCTGAAAGCAATTAAAAAAAAAACAAACAACAGTACTCAGATGAGGATTTAAAAAAAAGTGAGTTTTGTTCCAAATGCCTAAAATTAGCTTAAGGAAACTCTGCGCATAGATCTGAACAACTTCCCTGCAAATAAAGTGTTATCAGCATTAGTGCATGGGCTTATTTTGAACTCTATTGATTGCTTTCAAGGTCTCTTAATTGGTTTGAACTGGGACACTAAAAGGCAGAAATGACCCTTCTTACATACATAGCTCTCAAAAAAAGCCTTAGCTTTGCAACATGATTTAAAATGTCATTTTCAAAGCTATTTTTCATCTTGTTCGCGAAATAAGAACTCCATATAGATTTTAAATCACTGCTACAAAACCTCAACAGTAACATTAGCTAAAATCTTGAGAACTATATATTAATATAAGAGGTTAATGAACGTGGAATAAAAAAAGGGTTTTGAAAATGGCACAGGCTCCTCTGAACAATGAATGGCCTCTCCTAGCTCAGGCACTACCACCACCTATAAAATAACATTTTATATCAAAAAAATTTTATTCCAAAAGAAGCAATTTTGCTCATAATCCATTTCTTTGCCTTAGAAAATAACTTACACACTAAATCCTTCTTGCTTCAGCCTTTTCAATTAGTTTGGGAAATCTGCTAAATATGTATAATGGGTAAACTGCAAACATAGCAACATGATACCTTAACTTCTCAGGGCCTGTGTTTCCTCAAAATCAAAAGAAAATGTTTGGACTGGTTGATCTCTAAGGTCCCTCCCAGTTTTATGATTCTGCAGAAGAAAGCAGGCTAAAGTGAGTGCCATACAGTCCACAGCAAAAAAGAAAAAGACAAAGTACAGTATAAAAGGGTTGAAAAAGGACAAGAGAAAGGTAAGTGAAGTTCTAGGGAGTAAGACTTGAAGTAATGGGTAGACTTGAAACAGCCACCAAATGAGAAACTGAAGCAACCCTTAAAAAGAGTTTGTGAGTTTGTTAAGGGGATAATATTGATACGTAACATTAAGGAGTTCTTACTATATGCCAGTATTGTGCTGATCACAAGGTATATTATTTAATACTCATAATTCTTATATACATTTAACAGATGGGACTATTAACAAAGAGGTTCTCAATACTCTTCCAACCTCAGCATGTACAGCAGTCCCCCCTTACACAAGCTTTTGCTTCCCCCAGTTTCACTACCTGGGGTCACTGCAACATCACAAGGATGAGTACAGTACAGTAAGATATTTTGAGACACTTTTCATGAATTCATTATGAAATTACTACTACTTTCTTTCTCTGCATCTAAAATGACTTACGTATGTTAAAAAAAGGAATCAAGACCACAAGAATAGCTCACAGAAACCTTGAAAGGATTATACCCATCTATGTTTACTTATGGTTATTCAATTTCTCAAAAGAATTAAGTTACTTCATTTACCACTGCAAGAGAGACATAATTTTTATACCCTGAAAGATCCAAAGTAATAGTTGTATGATTAATTTTTTTAGTAGGTCACTCCATACACAGTTAAATGATAACATAAAATGGGCATACAATAATCCCACTGATAGAGAATTTCAAATTAAAAAAATAGGAAAATAAGCTTTGGAGGTCACACTGTTTAAAGGTGAAGATAAACAGAACTCACATTTTAAATTCTGCAAATCTCCCAATGAACAACAAAAAAACTATTTCTAAAGAATCTATTAGAGGAACCGAAAGCAGAAGCAGCTGCTTTTCCCTAAACCAAGGTGATACTTTTTCAGAATAAGATAAAAACGTAGGAAACTATAGCCAAGATTTTGATCAAGATATAGGTAAGAAAGTATAAAAGGAGACATAATTTAGAATTATATACTTTGAGCAGTTTGCACAAGTTCTCTTGGGAAGAGCTGGTGAACTGGCAGATGAAATGTATTCAGTGATGCATGGTGTGGAGCAGAAAAGCTGAGTGGACCCTTTTCTTTGATAAGCAGTTTGGCCCTTCTGGAGAACTTTCTTACAACCAGAACAGGAAACCTGAACAGCTGTGGCTGGAACTGAAGGAAGCGTTTTGTTCATGCCAGACGATGCCAGAGGAGGCTGAGTGTCTGTAGTCAACTGTGAAGCTATAAACACAAAACAGGAAGGAAAAGAATCAGTATTTACATAAAATTAAGTATACACAAAATTCAGAAAATAAACTCATTTTATTTTAGAGGTTACTTCTGGATTCGAAACTACAACGCACTATTCAAAGGCATTCTAAAAAAGCAGAATAAATTGGCTATCATATTGGTCAGAATAAATATGATTAACTTAATTCTATTACCCCTGTCTGAAAATGCGGTGTTTACTTTCTGTTCATTCTCCTTAGTTTGGGACTGTCGAACTTGACAATATTCCTGAAAAAAAAAATTGAAAATAATGAATACAATGTGTTTTAAACAACTACTTATCTGATCGAAAATGACAGATTATGCTTACGTCTATTCAATGAATTGTGTAACTGCATTGAATCACAGTACATAGGTAAGCACTCTCCTTCTGGTGACGTCTGGCTAATAATACCAATCAATTCCTGCATTGTTTTCTACGTACCTAAGTGTGACATCAGCAAATTGTCTTTATAAAGACCTTGAACACAAAAATTGTTAGATTGGGCTGAATAAATTTTACAAGGGAGAATTTTCTTTTCATTGCAGCAGGCAATGTATCTAAACTTGACCTATGTTTTTGAATGCATATGGGTTGAAAAAGCAACAGATACTCCTAGATGGACATCGTTCTGTACTGTCACCAACTCAATGGGAGTTACAGCCTTCCTGGATACTGATTTACTTTAGGGTATTTCTAAGCAGAATACTAGAAATAAATTAAAACTGAGTTTATTTTTTGCTTCATTGGAAATTTCACCTCAATCATATGCAAATATTCCACAGAAATTTGGCCACATTTAAAGAATACTCATAGCTTGAGTCAATCCTTTTTAATTTTTTTAGCATGCAATGTCTAAAAAAGTTTAAAAAAACATGAAATTAATTTGGATTAAAAAATTATAAAGAAAATAATTTTAAGAATTAAAAAATTTATGCATTCTACAACTTAATAGAGGCAAAGCATAAAAACATAATTAGCACCCTGGATGGTGTTGCTCTGTGGACTGAGGTGCCTGTGAACCAACTGGTCACTGGTTCAGGTTACATGCCTGGATTGTGGGCCAGGTCCCCAGCTGGGGGTGTGTGAGAGGCAACCAATGGACGTTTTTCTACCCCCCTTCCCCTCTCTCTAAAAAATAAATGAAATCTTAAAAAAGTCTTACTGAATGAAGTCCTACGACTAGGGAATTAAGGAAGCCCCATCAACATCTTCAAATTTGTAGGAAGTGGTGGCCCTGGCTGGTGTGGCTTAGTATTGAGTGCAGAGTTGGCTTGCAAACTGAAAGGTTGCTGGTTTGATTCCTGGTCAGGGCACATGCTTGGAGTGCAGGCCAGGTCCCATTGCTGGGGATGTGGGAAAGCCAACCAATAGATGTTTCTCTCCTCCCCTTCCTTCTTATTCTTTTTAAAAAGTAATAAATAAAACCTTAAAAAAAAAAAAAAAGGGTGGTAGGAGGGGAAGACACACAGAACGGGCTGGTCCAGATAAAAACTGGGAGGAATATCTTGGCTGCAGAGGTATCCCTTGATGAGTGAGGGCCGCCAGCCCAGGGTTCCAGTGCCAGGAAGCAAAGTCCCCATGACTTTTGGCTGTAAAATGCAGCGAAGATTGATGCTGAGGATGATGGAGGATTAACAAAGGCCCAGGCAGTTCCTCATTTTTTTAAATCCTCACCCAAGGACATTTTCATTTGCTTTTTTAGAGGAGGAGGGGAAGGGGTAGAGAGAGAAAAACATGGATGTGAGGGAAGCATTGATTGGCTGGGGACCTGCACCAGGACCAGGGGCTGCACACTCCCATGCTGTCACAAACCCACAACCTAGCTATGTTCCCTGACCGGAAAATCGAGTTTGCAGCCTGTTATAGGACAATGTTCCAACCACTGAGACACACCAGCAAGGGCCAGAAAGTTCCTCTTAAAGGACCCACAAACAGACTCACTCCCTCTGAGCTCCAGCACTGAGGCAGCAATTTGAAAGGCACAAGAGACAGACTTGGAAGAACTGAACTGTTGCACACCTTTCTCCGAGAGAGAAGTGCCAGCAGAGGCCATTGTTCTTTATATGAGCCCTCTGTCCACAGAGCTGGCAGGCGGGTGGGTGCCACATCAACTTGGTTCATACTGTTTACCCTGCCTAAGTGATTCCCTGAGGCTCTGCCCCACCCAACTATCAAGCCCACCCAAGCTCTTTCCAGTGTCTTTTTCTAGATGAATGGCCTATCCTGGCTCATGCTTCAGGTTTTTCTAAAATCTCTCAAAACAAAAGTAGCATCTGGCCTCAGTGTGGCCTGAGAAAAGTAGTTCGTTAACTACAAGGAAGCTCCCATAAGACTGTCAGCTGATTTCTCAATAGAAACTTTGCAGGCCAGAAAGGATTGGCAAGAAATATTCAAAGTGATGAAAAGCAAGGACCTCTACTCAGCAAAGCTATCATTTAGAATCAAGTCAGATAAAGAGCTTCCTAGACAAGAGAAAGCAAAAGGAGTTCATCACCACCAAACTAGTATTACATGAAATATTAAAGGGTCTTCTTTAAGAAGATGAAAAATATGAACAATAAAAATGGCAATAAATATATATAAACAGTTGAGTTTAAAAGAACAAAATGAACAGGCAAACAGAAACAGATTCATAGATACCAAGAATATTTTGACAGTTGCCAGATGGAAGGGGGACTGGGGAGATGAGTGAAAAAGGTGAAGGGATTAAGAAGTACTATTGATAATCTACGACATAAACTAATGGGCAAAACAGAGTAAGAGGTATTCAGACCAACAGCTGTCAGAGGAGAGGGCAGAGGAGTGTACAGGATGAAAGAAGGGGAAGGGACTGACCAAAGAATAAATACGCATGGCCCATGGACACAGGCAACTGTGTGGGGAGTGTCGGGGGGGGGGGGGGGGCACTGGGTGGAGGAGGGCAAAGGGGGAAAAATTGGAAAAACTAATAGTGTAAACAATAAAATATAATTTTTAAAAAAGTAAGTACAATTGGTTTTCAGAATAGTCATGGGGATGTAAAGTACGGCATAGGAGATATAGTCAACAATATTCTAATAACTGTATGGTGTCAGAGGGGTACAAGATTTATCAAGATGATCACTTAGTAAGTTATGTAATGTCTAATCACTGGGATATACACCTGAGAGTAATACAATAATGTATGTCAACTGTAATTGAGAAATAAAAATGATTTAAAAAAAGAAAAAACCAAAATGTGTTAACATTAGCTAGGCCCATGATATCCTAGGCAATCCTTTTTATCAATCCAAACACCCAATTCCAAACAGCTCATTCTTCTCTCACATCACATTTCTGCATATACTTGGTTTTGGCGCTGAATACCACTTACCTTGTATTATTTGATCAACTGCTTTGATCAAATTTTTAACAGGATTAAACATTTCAACCAATGAACCATCATCTAAATACTGATAACTAAAATTTATAATTCAACAATGCTCTAGAAAAAGAACTCCCTTACCTGAGCATTGTCAGGTTCTGTCTTAATTCCATCCAGCTGCAGCAACTGTGGTGCCGCTGCCTTGTCACATTCATGCGCTGTCAGTGATTGTTTCATTTGAGTACTTGATGTAAAGGAATCCTCCAGTTCCAAACTAATGGTTTTATTCTTGGGGAACAGTTTTCAGATACCTAAAATAAAATATAAAATGAAGAGAAGTTCTGATTTTAAAATTAGTTCTTTTAAATAGAGTAATTTTCTGGAACTGTACCGGGCAGTTAGATAGGCATGAGCAGAGCAGGAAGGATGGGCCAGGCACAGAGGGTCACCAGGGCAGAGAGCCTTGGGTGCCTAGCAATGGGCTTACCTACAAGCCCTGCATGACCACTCCCTTAAGCATCAACCCCAGGAGGTAACATCTAGGACTCAGCTGTGTTTCAGCTCAAGTCCCAGAAGAGCAGCCAATAGGAGCAAAACGAGGCAGAGTGACACCATGGCTGACATCAGGACCAGCTGCAATGACTACTGACCCACTCCCCTAGCACTGATTAATCAGTGGAGACCATGACCCTGAGGAGACACACCAGAAAGGCTGAGGAATATTGTATTGAGAGCCTCCCTTGAGACCTGAGATAAAAGCCCTCAGGAGGGAGGACCCAGCACCAGAGCCTTTCTCCATTCCCTTCTTTCCTCAGGAGCTGGAGGCTGGCTCGCTCGCTCGCTCGCTCTCAAATCAACAAAGAAAATTTTTTAAAGGAGGTTTTACGGACAGTAACTTCATAGGATGATCTGATCATAAATTCCTACCTGGGCAGATCATGGTGGGTAGTCATGCCCCACTATATAACTTTTTAGCAAAAGGTTTATCTTTGTCTTAAAAAAAGCTCTGTTCATTGTCTCTGTGCATCTAGTTTAATGTACCTTTGAAATGCCCCCCTTTATTTATTTAATTTTTTACAGATTTTATTATTTTTTTTTTAGAGAGAGGGGAAGGGAAGGAGAAAGGGGAAGGAAAACATCAATGTGCAAGAGAAACGTCAGTGGGATGTTGCCTCTCGCATACCTCCAAACGGGGGATCCAGCCCATAACGTAGGCATGTGCGCTGACTGGGAATAGAAGCAGCGACCTTTCGGTTTGTGGTCTACACAACGAGCCGCATCAGTCAGGGCTGAAATGCCCTCTTTTAGACTCCTCTTCCTAAAATGTAACCACCCTCAAAACAGCAATCAGTCTTAACTATCCTTTAATCCAATCCCAGCCTTCCTTTCTCTGACCTTCTTGTAGTCTTTCTTACATCCCTTCCTTGATTTCAAATGTATAAAATGAAACTTCAAAACTGTTATTCTCCAGAACATTTGATTTTTTTTTTTTATCCTCACCCAAGGGTATGTTCACTGATTTTAGAGAGAGAGGAAGGGAGAAAGAGAGAGAGGGAGAGAAACATGGCTGCCCTGACTGGGACCAAACCCACAATCCAGGCAAGTGCCCTAACCAGGAATTGAACCTGCTACCTTTCGGTTCATGGACGATGCTCGAACTGACCCACACTGGCCAGGACTCTCCAGAGCATTTGAGATCTTCTGCCCCAGCATATGCCACCAGTTTGGCTTATATAAGATCTTATAAAAATTCTCTAAAGGTTTGGATGTTTCTTGACACTCAGGGCTCTTCTCACTTGCTCTATGGGTATAATACTGAATTCAACTAACACCTATAGGCTAGTTTCCCCATACATTCCTGAACTCCATCCCATATACCTAACCACCTATTAAATACCTCCATTGGATGTTTCACTGGTTCCTCAAATTCAAGAAATTAAAAATCATACTTTTATATTATCCCCATAGGCCTGCTTTATACACGGTCCCTTTCCTGGTAATTGGTACCAGAAATCTAGAGGTAGTCCTAGATTCCCCAAGTCCCCATATTAAATCACCATATTGGATCAAATATACCTTCTAAATATGTCTTGTATCTTTTTTCCAATCGCACCTCATGCCTGTGAAAACCCCTTCCTAAATCAATGGATTTCTTTTTGGCGAATAGCTAAAATTCAAAATCACAACATAACAGACTGTTGCACATTCAGGCTTAGAAAAGAATTCCACTTTGTAGCATTTGAGGAACTTCAAGAGAAACTTTTGATTGCTCAGCCCCATGCCCTCCATTTCAAGGACAGAATGGTCCCTTGTATTCTTTTTCCTTAACTGAGATCTACTTTCCACATTTCTGGTAGCTGCTCCCTCTGATTCTAAATCCTTTTGAACTCTTGCCCTTCCACCGCCACTTGGCTGCAGAGTACAAGTCTGGATTCCCCTTCCTTGATCACCCCCAAAACGAACATACTCTTTTTTTGAAAGGGCTTTAAAACTCATGATGATGAGGCAGGGGCTAACTAAAACAGATATGGATAGTTCTTACAGGAGTAATTCCAGATCTGTGGTTTTATTCTAAGTTAGTACATGAAAAACCCAAGGAATTTTTCCAGTCTTTTATTTTTGGGGTTGGGACTCAACCACCTACCCTCAACTTTGATCTTTAACTCAGCTTCTACTGAAAGTTCTTATCCCAAGGTAGAAAATTAAAATAAGGCCTGACTATGAAGTGCAACAAAAGCTCCTATGGCCACTGCCCAGCCCGTCTGAACATTACACATAGCCAGCAAAGCAAAACTGCTTGGAAATTAATTACGAGATTGTCATTAAGTTGATTCACCTCCCCTAAAAGTAAATATGCCATGCAAGTCTAAACATCAATTAAAAATAAAACATCAATGAGTTTTGGCATCCTGGAATCCCTTCAAATGTAGCAGTCATCACACAAATAGGCAAATAATGGAGGACACCCTGAAAATGTAATGAATATAAAATATATTTCTAAGGTAGGGGAAAGTGTTATAAAACACTTCTTTAGCTATTAGAAAAACAAGAAAAGCAAAAAACATGTATGAAAAACAAATCCATTACTTCCTTTTCCAGGTGCACATTAAGGAAAATAGATCCTAGGGATCTTTAAACAAGAGGGGTAAGTCCAAAAAAAAAAAAAAAAAAAAAAAAAAGGGATATGTCATGAAGCAGAAAACAAAATTCACATTAATTTTTAAAGTAAAGCATGAGGCCTCAAGAAACTGCAAGCTATTAGGAGTTACTTCCAGACACAAACAGACCTCCACAGGGAATGTATATACACTTTCCTCCTTGAAAATTAGCACAATAGCACTTATGTAGTAAACCTGATGCTTCAAACTGCTTTACTTTAATCTCTTAATTCCTCCCCTCTACACTTGTGCTCACACCATTCTCCTACCTGCAAAGTCATTTTTGCCTATTCAAATCAGTCTCAGAGGTTAAACCAACTCAGCTCCAGGTTTTATCAGAGCGGTAAAACTGATAAATTTAGGCATAACAGAGTAGCCTTTTAGCATGCTAAATCCTCTCACTGAAAACAATTATGTAATAGGCTTTACCCCTGAGGACACTTTTCAGGACAGGTTGGAGGAAAAGGCCCACGCTGAAAACAACAGCAAAATGAGTTAGGGAGACAGTTGTTCCGGGTTCCCAAAGCAGTTGGAACTCCAGAGGCACGATCTGGGAGGTGAGGTAACCACAGAGAAATAAGCCTCCAGATTTGCATACAAATATCCCTCTCCTCCACTAATTAGCTGACTCCTAAACTGCACATCTACACAGCGATCCAAAAGACCTAGCAGAAAATAGCAGTTGGGTGGCTAACAAGCAAGCTGAGAAGGGATTATAGTAGTTTTGCAGAACTAAAAAGTTGAGGAAACAAGGAAACGTGGTAGAGACCTGGACTTTTTTTGGTTGAGACACAAGGAGCCACACCCTAAGGAATGTCTCTTCCCCCAATAATAGATTTTTTTTTTTTTAAAGAAAAAGCTACTAGAATTTAGCAGGATCATGTTAATACAAGGTCAATATTTAAAAATTTCACCATTTCTCTTCACCATTGTACCAGAAGTTCTACACAGGTCAATAATGCAAGGAAAAAAAAAATAGACGTCTTGAAATGGAATAAGTAAAATAATCATTTATAGATAACATGTTGTGTACATAGAAAATACAAAAGAATTTCCAAACAACTATTGCAGTTAATTTAGCAAGGTCAATATTCCAAAGTCAATTATATTTCTTTATACTAGAACAATTAGAAAATACATTTTTTAAAAAATAACTATTTTCACCCTGCCTGGTGTGGCTCAGTGGACTAAGCACGGGTCTGTGAACCAGAGTCACCAGTTCAATTCCCAGTCAGGGCACATGCCTGGGCTGCAGGCCAGGTCCCCAGCTGGTGATTTCTGGGAGGGAACCACACATTGATATTTCTCTCCCTCTGTTTCTCCCTCCCTTCCCCCTCTCTAAAAATAAGTTAAATCTTTTAAAAAAAAGGTAACTACTTTCTATAGCATCATGAAATATCAAATACAGGAATAAACCTAATGAAATATGTCAAGACCTCTACAAAATAGTGCTGAGAGAAATTAAGGACGATCTAAATAAATGGAGAGAGATAGGATGCTCACTGACTGACTTAATATTAAGTCAGTTTTCCCTAAATTGAGCTACACATCCAAATACTAGCAAGAGTTTCTGTGCAACTTGCAAGATTCTAATGTATACAGAATGTATATAGAACCTAGAATAGCCAAGACAACCTCAAAAAAGAAAAAAGTTGAGTACTTACTTTAAAGCTACAATAATTAAGGTAGTATCCTCTATGGACACAAGAAAAAATAAAAAGACTAACGAGAGTCTTAAAAGCAGGTATACTCCAACATCTTATTTCTTTGCATTACAGCTACTTCTTTATACGTTACACTTTGCAAAAACTTGTTTTATTCTGTTGAATTCTGCTAGCTCTTTTACTGGCTTGATAAGAAGGCTGGAGAAAGAAGACTAACTGGTCTTCAAATTAAACTAAAATGTCTATGCTTAGTTTTGTAGGCAACAAGAGCCATTATGAAGTGCCTTGGTACTGGGGCTAGGATGTCCCTACACTCGGAATGCTCTGCCTAGCACACCATATAAAAATTACAATAATGTGCCCTGGCTAGTGTGGCTCAGTGGATTCAGTGCCGGCCCGCAAACCAAAGGATAACTGGTTTGATT